ATTTATTGACAGTTTTTCTCTTGGTTGCTCAAGTAGTGTGAAAATAAATTAATGTATAAAAATAAATACAATATCAATGAAAAATATAGTGCCATGAAAATAAAACTAACAAGACTGCAAGTTATAAAAACACTATGTTGAGCTCCTTTATAGTAGGGAGCTCGATGAAGCCTTTCTTACTAGTGGTGAAGTCGTATATTATTTCTATATTGACAATCCTTAATGTCATTTTGAAACTGAATACCTCTTGCAACTCAATCACCATATCTTGCAATTGTGCCAACGAGTAAAATTCCATAATAACTATTGGTCCAGCTGGTAGAAGCATGGGAATTAGTTTTCTTTCAAGATTCATAATCGTGTTAGTACTAGTTGAGAATGGGTTCTTTCACTTTTTTGTTATTATAATTGGATTAAAAATAGCTTTGAGGTCAACATTATACAAGTCTCTCAACTTGTTGTCATTTGGGAACTTCTTACCTATTCCACCTAAGACAACACGATTGATTGGTACACCTCCTTCTATTCTGTTGATGTGTTCTTTTAAGGTTGATACTGTCTCATCTTTACTTATCACTGTTGGTATCTTGACATTTATTTTCATCTTCTCATTCTCTATCAGTTGAATGCAGGATTGCTATGGAGAGATTGTCAGACAAAATTTTTCTTTCAAATACAAATTCCTACTTCCAAACTGGAATGTTTATCTTCTCCTCAATTCTTTTCTTGATGCTAAGGATCCTTTCTACCAACTCTACATCAAAGTTAAATGAGTGTTCAGAATCTAGTTTAATGGTCAGTTACATGTTACTGCAATAGAATCACTGAGAGAGGATTAGATTTCATAAAAACTTGATATTGTGCTGATACCATCCGTTACGCCTCATACCACTGTGTGATACCGTTTGTTTTGATGTAAAGTAATGGACAACCTCTCACCCGGCCCGCTGCAAGCATGACCACTTGTTGATTGAACAACACTTTCCTTTTCTTTTTTTCGGAGTATCTCATCCTCATATAACATCAATGGTATCTTCACATTTATGTTGATCTTTAGAGCCTCCTTCACTTAAATATTGCAATATCTAAAAAGAGAAACCTGTAATCCAAAAAAGTGGATTTACCGTTTAGAATTTTAATACTATATCTGGTCCTTAATATAAGATCTAGTTTGATTTTTATTTTGTTCCTAGTTATAAAATTCTGATCTACTTTATCTCTTATATTTATGTATTTTTTACAAGGTAGTCCTTCTAATAATAGTAGTTTTAGTCAATAAACTTGATTACCAAGGATATTTTAGGAAAAATATCACCTGTTTATTACAAATAACTAACCTAACTTATTTTCTCAATCTCCTCAAATTAGTTAACTAGCTCTTATAATTAGAACCGGAAGTAGTAGTTAGTATTAACTATTAGGATGGGTTTTTCCACACGCCCTTAACTTAAGGTCGATGGTTAAAAATTGTAACATTTCACCAATTTTAATATACTCCTCCAATTCTTAATATAAGACTTATTTAACTAATTTGATAGATTAAAGAAATTAGGTAAGTTAGTCAATTATAAGAAATATGACTTTTTTTTCCTTCTAAAACACTATAATCATCTTTTTTAATATTCTTCCTCCCTCTTCTACTTGGTTATGGTTGAGAAAGTATCCATAAGGGTAATTTAGGAAAAAGTAATAAATATGAGAAATAGACCTTATATTTAGGACCAAAATCAACTTAACAATTAGGTCCTATATTAAAAACCGAAGGAGTATTATGTACCATATTATTTTAAAATTTTTACATGATGCTAATAACTCTTTTGAAAATATTTTGAAGTAAAAATACATTTTAATCCTACATTTTTTTGGAATATAATTTTTTGTACTTTTTACAAGGTATTATATGATATATTTATTACATCTTTTCCTATATATTCATCATTTAATATTATTTCATTTTTCCAAAGTCACATCATTTAAATAAAGATAAAATTGAAAACTTATTTAATTTTTGGACATAGTTAAAAAAATTTTAAATCTCCCCTTAATTTTGATAATAACGTGGAAATTATTTTACAAAAAATGATTAGACTAGGTAATGCTCATTGCAGGCAAAATCTTTACGTGCAAATGCACAAAAATTTGTCAGTAGTTAGTTAAAACTTAAAAGAGTTCTTTTTCTTTTTGTTCCCCTAACAAACTCCAACCAGCCACGTTAATTAACAACACTTGCACAATCCCTTTCTCGCGATTCCAGGCTCAAGAACTGGTAGACTAGGATTGAAATCAAATTCATAATTTCCTAGGTTCTTTCTTTTATGGACCTATACGTGCCGAAAGATGCTATTTTTTATATAACTAACTCCACTTACAGAAATATCAGCCTTTGAATGAGGAAGAAAGTGGTGGCCTGTTTGGTACTACTGCTCAATCCAAGCTCAGCTTCCTCTCCAACCTTAACGCTTTTTCACCACTCTGAATTTAATTTTCCCTTCCAAATCCATGAACTACACTCCTTCAACAGAAAGCTCTTAAATGCACCAACCCAATTCCTTTTTTTGAATTTCAAATGTGGTTGCCACAATGCTTTCTTCTCTCTGCTTGAAATTCAAACACATGCTTTTCTTTTTCCCCCAATCGCTTCCATGCTTTAAAATTTAATGTGTCCACCTCCTGTTTGTTGTTGGGTCGCTGACGAATTAAATGCCACCATATTTAAAGCTCTTCCTCTTTCTGTTACTCCCCCTTCTCCCTCCCTCCCTCTCTCTTTCTCTCTCTTTGATTCATTAATTCTCAAGAATCACGCGGTGACATTATTATTACTTTTCTCAGAGAAGCTTTTAGTCCTCTCTGGTTCTTGTTATTTTCTATGTGTTCTGGGGGTAAGCTTTACTGTTGCATGTATTTGAAGTTTTTGTTTGTAAGCTGTTTTTAACTTATATGGTTGGTTCTGCAGAAATTGCAGAAGCTTGTGATGAATCTGCATAAAGTTGTGCCTGAGATATTGGTACGGTTCAATCAGAAGGCTGTGCTTTGTGATTCTAAAGCTCTGTTATTTGATTGAGCCGTGCCAATATCGCAAGCAAGCAGTTTCTGGAATATCACGAAGTCATTCTCTTTAGTTCAATATGAAGCTACATGAAGGGGTAACAATAACATCCATGGCATAAAATAACCGTCAGAAACAGTATCTGAACAAAAAGGTAATACTTGACTTCCTTTTTCTGCAGAAACCTCATCAAAGATCTTATTCATTCTCTTTGTCGACAAGCAATGAAGCATCAAAAGGTATATTTGCTCCAAGAAATACAGTACTGCAGTGATATGTAATGATCTTGCAGGTATGAAACTGTTTCTCTAAGAAAATTATCTAATGCCTGTGCCATTCTGCTCTTAAGTGTGAATAGGTTTGAAGTGGGATTAAGATAATGACATAATAAAATAAGATTGAATATGATCTCTCTCTCTCTCTCCCCTCTCTTTTTTTATTGTATTATGGTAAAGATATAAAATTAAGGTGGTAGAGAAGTTTCCTACTAACCATGGTAAGGTAGGTAATAGGGGAAGGCGGAAGTGGGATGATATATCTTTCTTTAGGATTGAGTTTGCTTCTTCTCAAAGGCGCATCTCTTTTTTGACAAAGTATTATATATGTCATATCAAACTTGGTGACCAGATCCGATCTTTCTCTTGCTTTCATGATGAAAGCACCTTCTACAGAAACAATGTGTTTGGTATTAATGCATTGATTTCAGCAATGACTCCTTGCTTAACTAATTGAGCTTTCAGTGAGAATAAGATGGGACCGCTCAATTTGGACAAATCCATAAATAATGAAGAAACAAGTGACGACCTCCAAGCTACTGTGTATTGCTTTGGTGATGGAAGTTTTCCAAAATAGAGGAGGTTTACATTTTCATCAATTTTTTTTGGACATCTTTCACGGGGTAATTTTAAATTTTGAAGAAAAATGTTTATTTCCTAGTTATTCTCCCATTTTAAAAACGTGGTTTCTCCTCTCGGAGCAGCTTGTTCCTCTGTTAAAGAACATACTGTGCTTGTTTTTCGAGTTGACCAAAGACCACTAATTTTAAATGTGCTTGCTGCCTGCGTTTCACATATAGGTGACCGAGTCAAATCTCAATTCAAACATGATCCTGAAATTCAGAGTTCTGGATCCCTATAACGATCTATTTTACTACATAAAAAAAGATAACAGACTTTAATTGAAAAATGCAATTTGCTTCATGGAGATAATTCTAATCGAGAAAGCTTACTAATATCATCACAAGTTAAAAATATCACATCATTCATTCAAATATGTACTCCCTCCGTTCCTTATTATAAGAGACAAATAACCAAATTACGTTGATTAAAAAAACAGTTAAAATTAGTTGAGGACAATTAATGTGTAAAAAGTATAATATTTTTTCCAACAATACCCCCATTAATAAGAAGAGAAAGTATGAGAAAGAACAATTAAATTATTAAAAGAAAGAGAAGTGGAAGGGAGAGAGAGTATGAGTTGGAGACAAAATAAATAAGAGTAAAATAAGAAATCAATATAAAAAAATAGAGATAACTTTTAAGTGTCTCTTATATATGAAAACATGCCACAAACATTAAATGTCTCTTATAATAAGGAACGGAAGGAGTAATGACCTATTAAATATGAGATTACATTACCCTTACTGCAGAACTTCAAAAAGGCTAAATTGCTTGGGAAAACATTCAAGACTAAAAAGTAACCTAAATATTAGATGTGGACACAGGCGTCCACAGAAATTAGACCCCTGATTTTCTGCTTTATACTTGCAGCCCGGAGGGCGGTGGGGTACACACGTAATTTGGTTGTGGAACTGCCGTTCAATCATGGAGTCACCTAGGGCGTGCTTTATATTATATCATCCCCCACTCCACCATTGTACATAATCATCACAAATCCATGGCATCAATTTCTCTCAAAAGTTAACTTCTCTTTCTTTTTTCGCAGAGCTTCTCCGTTGCACAAAGTGAACAGAGCCAATCTGTTCTTTTCTATATGGTACAGCCTTTGACGTAGAAAGAGATAGTGATAATGAGTGAACAAACAGACAACATATGAAACAAATTCAAGTTATATTAAGTTTGAAGCAAAGGAAAGAGAAAGACAATGAACATAATCAAAACTAATTATTAGGAAGCACTTTAGCCATGGCCGAGAACTACGGAATATAAAGCCCTCTCTAGCCACTTCAAAAGAATGGGGTTGTGACTAAACTCTTTCTTCTTTTTCTTCATTCTCTTTGGCCGCACCGTTCAAAAGGGTCATCTTCTTTCTCAAAATGTAGATCAGATCCCAAGCAGCAGGCCTATTTCAATCTCTGTCTGTACCAACTGCTTTAAAGACTCATGTTATGCTTTCTTTCATGTTTATAGCAACACTTCTTCTTGAGTTTAGAAGGCAGGTCTAGATTTTTTGAGTTTTTCTGTCAGAAGGTTGAACTCCATAAAGCATTTTCGTCTTCCCCGCAACGCCGGTGAACTTCCATCATCCTCTCAACAGACCTGCAGATTCCGCTGCATCTCCAATCAAATGATGCAACACATATGTTTCCTGCCTGAGCCTTCCACTCGCAATCTGCAGCAGCAAATCACACATCCAACTCTTTAAGGCATCCAACAACATCATGAGTTTTTTAATTCATAAAGGTCTATATATCGTTTTTCTGAGGATGAAATGGTGATTGCAGGTATTATTCTCTGAATATTCTGGCTAACTTTTTCAACATACCTAACATGCTCGAGTCACTGAAGGACACTAGTTTTAACTAGCCCATGGCACCAATGATGAATTCCACCTACCTAGGTTTTATTTTCAAACTAGTCAGATTATCAATGCATCAATAATAACTTCGTTCCAGAGAGTCCTACCATGACTTCACAGACAATAAAAGGAAGCTCAGATGCAAAAAGTTTATTCATTAGCCGTTTGATACACTGCTTCTGTATAAGTATTGGATCATCAATAATGTCCCGGAAAAAAGAAAAAGAACAAGAAGAGGCCATAATAGAACTGAGACCAACGTACCAGGGGGGGTGCCACAGCACAGTCTCCTATCATCAATATGATCCACATCTAAACCGATAAACCAAGATCCCAATGAAACGTCTTCATTGGCAAATTTATGCAGCACATCCCTGATATTAAAAAATTTCAAATTGTCATGAATTTGTCAAAGAGCTAGGAAATGCTAACTTAGTCTAACCACTCAATTATACATGCATCTCAACAGGGAAACAAAATATCCTCAAACATGTTAGCCTGTCCTAGATTCCACTATTTATATAATGAGAGTCTTGATCTCACTAACAAATTCTGCATGGGGGAATGATATATCAAAATGCTATTTTGTGTTCATAAGTTGGCACAGCTGTAATACTTACCGATTTTTTGATATATAAGTGGCCAAATCATTGGAAATGGCATATAACTGTCCTGTAGCGTGACGAAAGTACTTGTTTCCAACCTCACCGAACTTCCAGTATTCTGGTTCATAGTACCTCACTCCCCTGTTCCACAAAAGAGTACCCCTCAGAACTAGGAAACGATCTTTAAACAATTGAATACACATACAATACAGCTTTTCTTACTTCTGAGCAAGGACAGGACCAGATTTCATACACCCAATATACACCCAAGGTTTCATGCGGTGCCTAGCCAGAGTCAATCCAAGGGTTGCTGTGATGACAAATAGCCAATAACCACAATCAGAAAGGGAACAAAAGATAATATTGACCATTAATGATGGTTTCTTTGCCTAAATTTTCCATGCTTATGACATAGCCCATTTGCCTAATTCCATACTAGCTAACCCTGGAGAACTTGTGAAACCTATTATCGAATTTCAACATGGGAATATCCCTGAATTATTACAAGATTTCATTACTCAAAACCATTCATTCTCCTTTTAGTCCTCATTAAGCCTTATCAGACTAAGCAATTTTTCCAAAATGCAATGGTGAAGATAATGTAACACAAACATCATGAGGACGCACTGGTTCTCACAAACAAAACTTCACCAAGCAGTCATACTGCACTTTATAAAGGATAAACTCCTAATTTGAATAGAGCTTAGAATTCTCTTAGCTTAACCAATGGCAGTGTACAAACTTTTTAAAGTGCAGATGGAATTGTAGTTTTTGCATAACCAGTATCCCTTGTTAATATTATTTAGTATTTTTTTTAAAATATAAAGAACTATGCCCTCTGGTACCCCTTTTTTTTGGGTTACAAATTACTCATCATTTTTATATATTTTAAGTAATTAATTAATTTAGATTTTTTTCCCCCAAAGGTAGTTAAAGTCTTTTCCCCATGCACGCTTAAGCAAGGAGAACCATCACTTCAAGTTTTTACATAACTCAACAGTTTACCTAAGTTCACGTGGACATCATCATCAACTTTGACATAAAACTCCGCATCCCACAAGGCAACAGCAGTTGAAAAGTAAGTCTTTGTCTTTCCTGACAATTCCAGATAGCCCTCGACATGGTCCTGATAAAGCATGGATGTATTTTGTTTCATCAACAAAAATCTCATTATAATATAGGACCACATTCACTCAAGGGACTAGAAAGATCGATTACCAGCCTCAAGAAGTCGCCATGGAGCTTCTCCTCGGCTTCAATAGCTTTATCAAGAATGCCACCAGATGTGGAACTAATGACAGAAAGGGTAACAGCTAAATTTAGTTCCTGAATTGGACAACGGAAGCACACCCCAAGGAAGTATGAAACAAACCAAACAAACTAGAAATTAACTATACATCTCCAACCTATTTTCTCAAGGAAAAAATTTACGGCCCGTAGCCCTAGACAAAGATTCAGAGTGGAGCCGCCTTATTGTTTTCTGTAACTTGATGTTGGTCAAAGCCTAAAAGTTCTCATTGTTTTGCTTGATGAAGAATGTGCAATATATGATGCAAACAGACTTATGCCAATGAACAATGATGCAGGCCAATAATCTGAGAGTTTAAGGCAACAATGAAATTCTGTGAAGCATAAAGCAGAATAGATTTCCTAAATTGGTAGAGAAGTAAACTTGATTATTAAATATCACTTATAGATACAGAAACTCAGGCATACTTAATTTTGTGCTGGTAGACATCAGCACATTGAAAACTATCCTGTCAATGAATCAGCAGCCAAAATAACCCAAATTTTAAAAGAATTCGTGCAGGTGTAAAAATTCATTTATGTTATAGTGCTCAATCCATGACTTGGTTCATTTAGCTCACATCCATAACTTGGCATCGTAAATAACGTCCTGACAGTCAGCATCATAGGATAGTATTAAAAGGTTTACATTTCTTTTTAATCCTACCTCCGATCCTAAATATAAAATATAGTTTGCAGTGTAAATTGCACTACAAACTAGATCTTATCTTATATTTAGGACCAGAGGTAGCACAAGTATAACATCCACACTTCAGCTTCATCATTAGAAAAACAAGTTCTCTGGCATCTGTTAAAATGATAGTGCACAAAGTGCATCCACAGTATGAAAAGCAAATTTGAAACTTTCAGAAGTTTGCAAATGTTGTAAAATACTTCGACCAAAAGAAATGTTATAAAATACTACGAGTGTGACACACCAATCTCCACAATAAGACGCAATTGTGTTACAATTGAAAGAAACTCCACTTACATCAAAATGAGAAAAATAACAAACATGGATGGTAAGTACCAAAAGAGACCCCACAAAAAAAAAAAAAAAAGATTCAAACGTACCATCATATTTGAACTTGGTAGAAAGAAGGTAAGCATGCCACAAAATTACAACAGGTATCAAGAGACATTTTGAATCTGACCTGTGACCTATGACAAAACGTATAATTATGCCCTTCTCCTCCATCTTCTTTCTTCTATCAGCTGGTGAGATTCAATTAGAAACCCAGATCAGATACATTTGACATAAGGAATAAGCGTAAAATAATCATTAAAAGTAATTTGAATAAGGAAAAACATAAAATCTCAAAATCATTCAATCTAAAATCTCAAAATCATTCAATCACCTTGTGGCATCCACGTTTCACGAACAGAATCTCTCCGCTTCCTGCTACTAAAAGCTGTATTGATCCCTATAACCATCAAATATCTTCTTCTTGGAGTTGAATCAATAGTGTTTGAGTTTCCTGATGCAGGACAACCATTCAACATAAATTTAGGAGCTATCCTAGTAGTTTCAGTTCCAACTCCAAAGCAGATATTGTCTTACCCGGGTTCCTGCATTTCATGTATTTGAGTAGTTCAGCATTAAAGTTATTTGAGAGGCTTAAGTAAAACTCAATACAAACAAGCATCAGCCAAGCTTACTTGATAACACGTTCTGTATTTGAAACATCAACTTGACTGTGATTGGCGTGAGGCTTTACAACCTACAGATAATAGCCAAAATATTAGTAATCTCTCAAATCACATCTTTGTCAGAAGCAGAAGAAGAAAATAAAAAGTAAAATCCTCAGTCGGAAAGACGTATTGAGTTCCAAAAGTCACTATGAGTGAAAATTGCAACATTCTGGGTAATCATTGTTGAGAGCTTATAACATACGGAGAAACATCTCTCTTCCCAATCCCTCCCAAAAATAGACAAGATAGACAAAATGCTACCAGCTGATTCAAAAATAAGCACCATAGATACACTTTTGTTTCCTTTTTTCTGAGACATCCGCCACATGCCATAAATGATTGTGCAATGTCAGCATCCAATAAACTAACCAGAAAGAAAAGGTGAAAAATGTAAAAGTGATTCAAGACACCAGTTTTCATTTCCTTGGCAATAGTCTCATGAGAAGGGAACTGTGGGATTCTCACAATTTCTGATAGGACTTTTGTGGGAACTGTATACCAGGGGTGGGGCAAGAGAGTGTGACAGAGATGCAGTGGAAATATGATTTGTGTATAAGCGTGACTGATACACTTACAAGATTCATATTACAACCCTCAGAGTTTAATCTCATCTGTTCAACCTCATCAGATGTCCTTGCAGTTTCTTGATGTTCAGGCATTGACCACATCCTGATGCAAATTTGTAGTTATCACTCAGCACCATATATATAGATATATACATATATATATATATATGCTAATTCATAGACTGCAAAGGGACCCTAATGCAGTTAAGCTGCAGCTCAGTATCCCTAATTCTTAGACTGCAAAAGGCACGACTTATGTATAGTGCGCAAGCAATAATTCATGACAATTCAGCTCAAAACAAACGCATTGTCCACATTTAAAGGCAAAATAACAGTACAGAGCTAACTTGTCTAAAGCACACCAGTCAGCGAATTGTCTAAAACATCAGCCAAGCCAGTTGTCAAGTTGAATAAACACAATCTCCCTTGCTCTCATGGGAATTTACCGAACTGTCGGTATTTTCTTCTACGCCCCAGTCGCAGTATATAAAGATGCAATCATAATCATAATATACTAATTATCGAGATTGAAGCTCAAATATGGAAACCCAGAAGTCACAAGTACCAATTAGTGAAGAACATTCCGGCACAGAAGCTTCCCAGACAAAGTAAAAGAGCCCATTTCCTAGGTATGACATTCCTCATGCCCAGTTCTACGGTTCCCCCCCGGCTCTTCACGGACATTTCCCCTTCTCTTCGTCTTTGTTTACCTCACTATAAAACCCAGAAATAAAAGAAACAATGAATTCAGAGAAGGCACAATAAGACAAACAGATGGAATGGAGGTAAATGATGATAAAAGGAGTCAACTTTACAGCTCTTTTTCCCTAGACACACTTGTTCTCTGCTTCGAACAAGAGAGGAAATTCCAAAGCGCGATGACCCACCAAAATTGTGTCCTCTCCTCTTAATAGTCCAATATTACGGAACCGTCCTTTAATCAAACCGCTATTCACTCTTAAAGGAAATGCGGAGGAAAATATTAATTACAAATAACGGTAACAGTTATTGAAGAGTGGACTCCAGGCCGATCACATTTTTTGGGTTCTTGATCTGCCCGTTATGTTTCCCACATTAAAATATGTTAATACTACTACATTATTTGTTCATCTTAATATCATTAATCAAGTCTCCATCTTTTTTGTCGGCTCAGCTGGTGAAGTTCAAATATTGTTTTTAATTAATGTCCAAAAAGCAAAAAAGATTAGGAATTATCCTACCATGGTTACTGTTGGCTGAGCGTGATTTTGCTTATAACTTGCATCTTAAGTGTCGGTTGGTGCTTAAATAACTATCATTGATCAGAGTTACGCTTAGGCAGTAAAATGAACCTGGATGGCTAGAATTGAATCCAGTTCATATGGATCCCACACAAGTCTTTTCATGTGAAATGGTTTGGTTTCAGGTCAGACTCACCCAAATTGAAGCGTTTTGCTACGTATAAAATGTACAAAGCTTGAAGAAGGTGGGATGGAAATGGATCATGCTTCGCCAACAAGAAGCTAAACAAGCGATATTTGGTTATTTGCTGGATCAAAAGCATGAAGGAGTTTTAAGTTAAATTTTCGTTCTCTTTTTCTGCTTCTTTTATCCTTTTGATCCCCAAACTGTGCTTCAGTTTCTGCAAACTCAACCAACTAATGTAATTCTCGTTTCATAGAAAATAATTTCCAAGAGTTAGTTCATTTTAAAATGCGCTTCACGCGGAATCACACTTAACATAAACATTTTAAAATCCTACATAAAAAATAATTACGTTGACCTCAAAACAAATACTTTGTGTGACCTAATTATGGGGTTGGTCTTCATACTAAATGTAAGGTCTTATTATTTTTTTTTCAAATCATCCTATTAATATTCCGTCAACCATATTTAAATAGAAGAACGAGGGAGGATATTAAGAAAGATTATTGAGATATTTTAGAAAAAAACATGTGATATTTATTATAGTTGAACTTACCTAACTTTTTTAATTTAAACAAATTAGTTAAATAAATTTTACATTAAGGATTAGAGGAATATATTATTTATAAAAAAAACAGATATATTATTTTAAAAAGAATGAATCGGAAATTAATTACTTTAAAACATTATATATCATCTATGATTTATGGTTATTCAGAGGAAAAATTAATAATTGGACTTTAAAAAATTGATTTAATCACAATTAAGTTTTCAATAATTAAAAAAGAGGTTGTAATTATCAATTTAGAATTTTATATAATTGCAAACATGAACTTTAGTTAAATTTAAATGTCACGGCTTAATTTGTAATTATTTAAATTTGTATCCAGTTATCTACAGCTTATTTTTTTTGAAAATCTTGGCAGAGGCCTAGATGTCATGAAAATGATCTTTTAGCACTCAAATGTCATTCTACCAATATGATTGTTAAATACTATCTCCAGTTTTAATTATAAGAGCTAGTTGACTAATTTGAGAAAATTAAAAAAATAAGTTAAGTTAGTTATTTGTAATAAATAAGTTCTGTCTTTCCTAAAATATCCTTACTAATCAAGTGTGTTAACTAAAACAACAATTATTAAAAGGACTATCTTAGAAAAAATTGCATAAATATAAGAGACAAAGTGGATTATAATTTTATATTTAGGATCAAAATAAAAGTCAAACAAGATTTTATATTAAAGACAAGAGGTAGTATATTTGATTATCTGTCACACTTTTTTTCGTTGGGAAAAAAAACAGTTTTACTTCTTCTTTTTTTCCAAAAAAATTTAAAAAAATTAATTTTAGTACCTAGTTTCACATTAAGACAAAATGATATTCTTTAAATGAGTTAACCCATTCAATGTAAAATTATTATCAACCACCAAATATTTTGGAATTAAGATACTATCACCTATCCTAATTATAAAATCTAGGTTATATTGTACAATACAAACCAGATCTTTAATTTCAGTAGTTGTTAATACATCCGAAACCGCAATAGTACAATGTGAAGAAAGAATGGTTCTTCGCAGTACTTGTCTTTTTCTAATCATAACTAGCATCCTTACATCATCATAATTATTTTTATTTATCTTTATGAGACAAGGCAATTGATGCGCAAAAACATTATTTTAATTAAGGATTTGGGAAGCTCATCGACAATTTTGCTTCTTTTAAATTATGAACCCATGAAAGAACACGAAGGATAGCTCTTGCTTTGTGCCACCCTCTTAATATTGAAGGTTGATTAAAAAAGAAAAGGGTGGATAATAGGTTTTATGAGCATATAATGGCCAATCGTTTATGTTTTCTCCTTTAATACGTCAATTAAGATTTTTATGATATTTTATATAAATATTAATTCATATAGATCTTTTAGTATATTTTTTTTATATTTAATCGAGTTAAAGTGTATTCAACATCTCGAAATATTTTTTTGGATGCATTCAATACCTTAAAATATTTTATGATGTATTCAGTACCTTGAAATTTTTTTTAAGTACGTTTAGCATCTTAAAATATTTTTTAGTGCATCAATCACACTAAAATATTTTTTTAAATGTGTTTAGCACACAACAATAGTTTTTTGATATTTCCAGTACCAAATCAAACAAAATATTTTAGAATATATCATCACAAAATATTTTGAAATATTGAATTCACCTGGAAAAAAATACTTTGAGAATTTAACGCTGCTTGCTGGGACGTATTATCCCTCAGGCGTCTTGCATGATTAATTTAAACAGAGTTTTTGTACTTTCGTGTCCATAGACGCGGCTAACTCTCGTCAAACAAATGATTATAATTAATATTTTCATCAATAATTTAAAGGAATATGCTTTTACTTCTCCAATCTTTAATATAAAATTTATTTAATTAATTTAATTAAATTTAAAAAATTAGATAAATTAGTTAACTATAATAAATATAATATGTTATCTCTCCAAAAAAAAATATAATATATTATTTTTAAAATACTTTAATCATTTTCATTATATCCTCATTCCCTCTTATACTTGATTATGATTGAAGCCTTAAAAGAATATTAATAAGAATAATTTAAAAAAAATTAATAGATATAAAAAATAAATTTTATATTTAAAATTAACTATAATTAGATCTTATATTAAAAATGAGAAGAGTATGATTTTTAACAAAACTAATTAGCATATTATCATTGTTTCAAACAAACTGCTTTTGTGTTTTTGCCAGCATTTCAAACAAACCACTTGATTTACACGATATAATTAAGAACATTTGAATTAGCTTTTTAAAAATAATTTTATGGCGCCTGAAATAAATAACTAAAACAATACATAAAAGCACCATTTATCGAGGTTCCCAAACTCTTAAAAACAAAACAATCTTGAAACAAAAACACGAAAAAACCACAATTGATTCAGTTAGTTTTAATCGCTGTTTTTTTCTCTAACCACGAAATTCCCCTGAATTTCTCTGTTTTGGATCCTTCTCTTCTGTTGCTATACTAAACTTCTATCCTATCCTTAAACCCAGTATCATCAACTTAAAACAAACAAATTACTAGTCATAGGCATGCATCTGAATATGAAAATGAAAGTTGGGCGTAAGCCTAGAAGGCCAAATGATGATGGTCCCAGCCACCAAAGAGAAAAAAGGCAATGGAGAAGGCTGAATTTTTCTGAACCTCTCAAATGCCTGCCTCTTTGATGCTTCATCATTTTGTGATTTGTGTCGGCCGAAGGGACACCACTACTTTTCTGTATGTGTGTTAAGTGTCCATATATACTCAAAAGGATCAGATATTCTCAACTAAACGCCTTTTTCTTGTAATGACAATCTTCTTTTTCTCTCAATACTGCAGATCGCAGGAAGATTCTGCACTTTTCATATGCAACTTCCATTTTTATTCCATACTCACGATGGCAGTGGCCTCTCATTCTAATGACAAATAAGAATCTCCATAAGATCCCTTTGAAAACCTTGAGGTTTTCATTTGCTTTTTCAAAGTAGATATCAAACCCTCATATAAATTATATTTTTTTCCACTGATGGCAGGGTTGCTCAACAGCCTAACACCCTTTTAAATAATTATAATTAAGGATATGCATGAAGAGAACAACAAGCTTGTTAAACGTTAACCCAAAAACAACACAAAAAATGAAGAGAACGTTTAACGATGATGACTGGCAGTTTAGAGAAGATTAGAACCAACCAGAGGCAGAGAAAAAGATTTAAAGGGCAATAAAAAATTAACTCTTCCACATGAGGGATGGAGTTGGGCATGCCATTACAACTAAAAGCATATATTATAATTTTTTTTTCCAGTAAAACATACAAAACTTCGGACTGAAACACTCAAATATTTTCCCAATCTCCCACTTCCCAGGGAAAAAAAAACAACAAAAACAGACCTCATAAAGGGACTTCATTTTTCCCCCACTGGCAGCATCAGTTCATCATCATTCATCATCTCCCATAGTGTGTGTAAGTGCGAATAATCAAAACAAAATAGATTGCATGGCATCTAAGTCTAACGACGATGATGACGAGGAGATCAGATTGTGGTGGAGATTGCCAAAGAAGAAAGAGAATAAAATATGGAAGAAGCCGACAATGACATGATCGAACCATTACAGTGGTGGCCAAGAATCAGCTTCGCTGATACTGCTACTCTATGAAACCAGTTTTGGACAAGATAGCATTTCTCACTTTGCTAAGATCTCTCCCTTTGAGCGTCCTCCCTGCGCCTTCACACACAGAGAAAGAGGAAATCTGGTTCCTTGCAAGCTTCCTAGCAAGCCATTCATGCGGGGGAATGATACGATCTTCATCATCTCCATCTTCTTCCTCCTCATCACCACCATTTTTATCATGTTCATGTTCTTCTTCTCCATCAATTTTTGGCCCCGTCTTCACATTTTTCTGATAAATTTTAGACCAGTCAGGAATGTTCAGAGGAGCTGAAGAACCCTGAAGCGCTTCAAACTTATGGCTGGTTTGTGAGCTTGCCCTCGGAATCTTTCTTGGAGCAGCAGGTGAGTGCCATGCAGAGGAAGAACCAGAGGAATCTTTAGAAGCAACTTTCTTCACTTTGGGGCTTGACCCATCCCTCTCCTCCGCCAATCCCCACACTTCTTCTTCATCGAACTCTTCATCGCCTATATGGGTTTTACTCAGAAGATCATCCCAAGCAGCCATTTTTGCTGTAAAACCCTCAAGAGTCAGATGGGTACTTATGACATGAAACAGAGAGAAAATGTGTTGGGGGAGATTTGAGGGATGAGGGGTGACGGATGACAGGGTTTCTTGTTTCAGTATATGTAGAGATAGATGATAAATAAAGAAAATTTCCCATCATGAATGCGGATACTAAAGAGATAAAAATAGGCTTTTTATTTTTAAAAAAATAGTTTTCTCTCATTGGGAATCAAAAAGCAGAAAGGTGTGTAAGAGAATAACATCAGGAATCTACCTTGCTTTTGTTTTCAAAACCCTCCAAAGAAACAAGGGACTTCAGAAAATAAAAATTTCTGAAATTGGAACACCAAGAAACCCCCAACGCACCAACCAGCCAGGGTAAAGGACGAAGCTTTGTAAATCACCTTAATGCCTCCAGAGAGATCACAGGTTTCAAGAGACCAGGCTCAACAGAATAGTACCTGGAAAGAGACAAATTAGGAGATAGAAAAAGACAAGAGAAGCATATGAGAGCATAAAAGCAAAAAAAAGAAGAAAAAAAAAAGCTTGGTATTATTATTGTTATTACTGTAATATAACGCCTGGAAAAGAGCCTCATTTAGTAAAGAGAAGCAACAGAAAATGATGGGTCATGGTGTGAATCTCAGTTCCTTTTGATGAGCCCATTAAAAACCTGTTACCTGGAAATAAATCAAATAATGCACACAGGGCGGTTAATCGCTAGAAGCCAAAGGAGGTAGCAGAAGAAGGACAATAAGCAGGAGGTGGGGTTCAGGTCCTGCATTGAGCAAACCCAGAGATGAACAAGTCCCATCAGAGCAGTGTTTCCATAAAGAACAAGAAGAGGAAAGAGCAAAAGACAAACCCATTTTATCAAACTTCTTGTTTTTTCTTTAGATAAAAAAAGGGCGGGAGGGCCTGAAAAGGCTGCAGCCTTGATTGAGAGAGGTGGAGAAGAAGGATTGGGGCGACCGTACTACTGTTATTAGTGATTCGCAAAACCTTATCCTCTAAAACCCGCAGCACAGGATGCTCATTCGGCGGATACCAGAGAGAAAAGGCTATGAGGGGGATTTTTCTCTTGCCCTTTATCTATCTGTATGCCTATGTGAAAGTGTGAGCCCAAGGGAAGGCTTTAATAATATTGTATTGTGCATAGAAGAGGGAGCTTACAGCTTATGAATGAAGTAAAAGCCAGTTGGTTGGGTATTACTATGACATTGAGATATGGAGCGACTTGTTGCTGACGAATGACGATGTGGTTCCTCCTTTCCAACTGTTACTCTCTCCCTTTTCTTCTCTCTCAATGCTTTCCTCCTCCTTCCTGTGCTGTGGGATTATTAATACTGCACAGTTGCACAGAGAGAGAGAGAGAGAGTTGTAGCTAGAGGGAGGGGAGAGCCCGGGGCCTCAGGGATTTGTCTAAGGGTGTGTCTAACTTCGTATTACACGGCAGGATGGTCCGTTTGATTATATGGATAGGAACATATCTGGCCATACGTCTTCCTGAGATTGTAGGTCCCATGTACCTCTTATATTTCAATGAAAAAAAGGGAAAATATAAATATATATACACTAAAATACGTATCAGATACGATACATGTGTTGTGTATTTTATGATATATATAACACATTTTGATTTAGATATGTATTAGATACGATTCATGTATCGTATATTGTACGACATGTTTTAAATTCGTACGTACTATTTTATGATATATATACATATATAAAACACATTTTGATCTAGATGTGTTTTAGATACGAATATGATACATAATATGCATATCTTAAGCATTTGTATGTTTTTTCCTTTTCTGAAATGTTTCAAAAGTCAAAAGTGGGAAAGAAAGTCAAATTTTAGCTGTACGTTATTAATCTTTTTAAATCCTTTTTTTTTTTCAAAATACTTAATTAAAACTCGAATAATGCGCGTATTTTGTATTGGTGTATCATAAATAGGTTGTATTATTAAGATAAGATATCGAGGATTAAATTGAATTCTTATGAATTCATATGTCTTCTGTATTTTGGCCAACGACAAGACACGTGGTTTAGTTCTATATTATGTTGATCGCATCCTATATAACACGCATGTCTTCCCAACCTCAATACCTCAAGTAACTATCAATGTCCATTATATACGAGTCAAAAAATTAATTATTTGTTTAAATTTAATATTTAATATTAGTGCGAGATGCCAAATGTGCTAATGTTTTTGGCCTTCATGAATGCATTAAATATGTGAGCTTTTTTCATTAGGCGAAAAACAAAAAAACATAGCATCTTAAATCTTCATGCTGTACTAAGAAAGGTAAAAGAGAGTCATATTTATGACTTGAGAGTTATGTTTTTGAGTTCACGGACAAGTTTTGTAATATTAGAATGTTGGAGGATAATAACATGGCAACCAAGCCAAAGCAAAATGGGATTTATAAATCACCAAATATTCATAAATGCATGGGAGCTTTTTAACCGTGCAAAGTCACGTCCTGGGGTTCCATCCATACGGTTCTCTTCTTGATCGTGATCAGCATCAATTTTACTTCATATTAATATTAAAAAAAAAAAAAAAAGACACGGCATGTGAGACTATCACAGATTCAGATCACACCTAAGATAATTATAATCGTTACTTTTGTTGGTTCGATATATTTATTTAGATGTTACTAATATAATTCATATCATATATAAAAAGGATAAATTTAAAAAGTTATAGTAAATATTTATCATCTATCACAACTCCTTAATATAAGAGTTAGTTTGATATTTAATTTAGTTATAAATATAAGACTCAAATCCTTTTTATTTCTTATATTTATCTATTTTTTAAAATAGTATTTATAGTAGCTATACATATTCAATGTTTCATCAAATGGTAATTCAAAAATTTGAATTAATACATATGATTGATAAGGGTATTTTAGAAAAGACAACACCTAATTGATTAATTTGAATATATTAAGAAAGTTTATTAAATTAGTTGTTTATAATAAATAGGTGTTGTTTTTTCTAGAATGTCATTGCTAATCATGTGTATTGGTTAGAATTACCGTTTGATGGAATCTTTAATATATGTAACTATTACAAGATTACTTTTAAAAAATGGATAAATATAAAAAATAAAATGTATTGAAATCTTATATTTAGAATCAAATTAAAAATCAAACTAATTTTTATATTAATACTCCTTTGGTCCTTAATATAGAACCCAATTATTGAGTTTGTTTTTGTTCTAAATACAAGACTCATTTTTCATATTTATTAATTTTTCTAAATTACCCTTATAGATACTCTCTTAATCATAATCAAGTAGAAGAGAGAGGGGTATTAAGAAAGATTATTACAATATTTTAGGAAAAACGTGTCACATTTTTTATAATTAACTAACTTACATAATTTTCTTAATCTAATCAAATTAATTAAATAATCAAATTAATTAAATAGGTATCATATTAAAGATCGAAAGAGTAGTAGAAAATAGTATTAGCATTAAGGACGGCGGTAGCATGGTTCTGGGGTTAATTTGAGTTATATAATGTTGTGGACTTGGTGTGGATTGATTCATTATTGTGTCGTTTGCAGTGACTGTGCGATTGTAGTAATGGATCAATGATTCTGATCATGCAATGCGGGTTTGTCTTCTGACTTTGCGAGGAGTTTAACTTTGAATTGTTTGTTTTCTTGGGACATTTATCATGTGTGTGTTAGCATTCTTCGATTATTTAACTCACGAGTTTTGTTTTATTTAAATCGTGAATTTTATTCAACCAATTCTTTATAACTACTATTAGTAATACTAATAGAAAGTTTTTTCGTTTTCGCCGCCTAACATGCTTAGATTCCAAATTACACTCAATATTTCTTCAACAAAATCGATAATCGATTTCAAATATATAGCGCTTTAATATAACTAACTTGGAACGAATCGTCTCATATAAAAAATTTATTAAATTAGCAGAAAAAATTTAATTTTATTCTTATTATTAAAGTTATCTCTCTCCATGCTTATAAATCTTTCATGTATATCTCATTTATTTTAATAAAAATGAATAAAATTAAAATTAAAAACAAACATTAAATATAGTATACGTAATACTACCTCTGATTCTAACTATAAACAAAATTAATTAAGATTGAAAAAGGTAATATATATTAAAAAATAAGAATTATTGTTAAGTTGTGTGCGGGGTTAAGAGAGCGTTTGATTTATCTACCAAAAAACTATTTTCATGTAAATTGATATAAAATTTTTTTTAAGTGTTTGTATATTTAAAAAGTCATAACCAACATTTTTTAAAAATAAAAAAGAGGAGTAATGAGGGGATGAGGAGGAGGCAGGGGGTTGCAGGTGCAGGGGCTGCTGAGGAGGGATTGATATGACATGATGAATGTATCAGTCTTATCAGCCTGCCACTGGAACTGCAACCACACTGTGTTCGTGTCGTGTCGCTTCAATGCCCAACAAATCAAAGCACATTAGGCAATGTTCAGGCTTCCCCCCCGCCTTCTCCCAAAATGGCCCTCCCCTTCCATTTAATGCAAAACAAGACACAAACGGAAAAGGGGTTTGGTCAGCCCCTTCTCCTAATGCAGCCCTTCAAAGCTTGAACTTCCGTTTCATCGCAGGGATTCATTCCCGGTTTATGTAATAAATCATGTCTATTGCTGCATAAAACATGATAAATAAATCAAACTATTTATGCCTAAAAACTACTGTGATTTGTTGAACCTTTTTTTGGATGACATATGAATGTAAAATATTAATTCATCTGATATTAATACTACTTCCGTCCCAAATATAAGAATTAGTTGATTAATTGAATAGATGAAGGAAACAAATCAAATTAGTTATTTGTAATCAATAGATGTTATTTTTCCTATAATATCTTTGACTAATCAAGTTTGTCAGTTAAAACTATCATTATCAGAATGACTACCTTGAAAATAATAAATAAATATAAAAAATAAAATAAATTGGGATCTATATTTATGACTAAAACAAAAATCAAACGAAATCTTATATAAGAATCTAAAGTAATATAAAGTAAGAGCTCACTGAGTGATTTGTTTCAACACTGAAAACAACATATGAAGTTGCCTTATCTCATGGATTTATAATTTTCATCCTAAACAATCAATCATTGACTATACATATTAAAGAAAATTATTATCAACAAGAGTAATTGTCGAGACAAATAATTAATTTAATTAATTTTTTAATATATGTAATTTACTCACTAAACTCCTGTTTCCAATTTTAACATTCACACGTGTAAAAAAATGAGAAGCCCTAGCCTTGCCCGCGCCTTCCCACTTTGAATTCTCCGCCTCGCGCCTCCATTCACGCCCCTCTCTGCACATGAGACCGTTGTTTCCCGCCACGTCCTTCTTCTCCTTCCTCCTCCTCCTCCTCCTCCTCCTTTTATACCAACCACCTTCCCTCCCATTTCTCTCTATCCCTCTCTCCCTCTCTCTGTGTGATCCAGACACCATGAGAGGAACTACGGGAAGGAAGCCGTGTCAATCCTTGCTTCCCAACAGGGACCAGCGATGCTACTATCACAATAGGTTTCTTAAGCCTGGAGCTCTGGGCCGTCTTAGGGACTTCAAACTCAGTGCAAGATCCCGGATCTTTGATTCGCATGCTCAGATTCCTATCTCCGAACTTCTTACGTCCCACTCGTCCTCCACTTCAACATCTTCGTCCAGCGATCAGATCGATCCGGCAATGAACCAGATCAATTTTGGAGTTCCTTGCTTTGCTTTGAGGATCAATAGCCCTCGATGCCTGCTCAGAAAGAAACTCTTTGCCGTTGCTCCAGTTTTCGCAGAGAGTGAGCAGTTATAGATTCATGATGTATCAATAAGTTGATCTATATATGATTCTTGTCCTGCCTAATAAATGGCACATTTAGTTTCTGATATTCCTCTTTGCCATTTCTTAGACTCTTTTTGGTCAGTTTGACTCCCCTTGGTGTCGATTTATATTCATCATTTCGTGTAGAATTGGAGACATCTGCGATCTTAATTAAGGGATCGCACCAGTTGTTGTATTTGATTGAAAATTACTTGCAGACGGCGGGGGAAAATTTATGTTTTGAGCTGCTTCACCACTAAATGGATTATTAGTGATCGATGAGTATTTCATCTCATCTTATACTGATAGTGGAAGGCGGACTAATTTTCTTAATGAAATGGTCAAATACTATATGAAGCAGTGATCAAATTAACCAGAAGCAAAATAAACAGTCATGAACTCCTTGGATCTCATTTGGCAAGAGATTGACAAGGAATCAGTGTGATTAGATTTCTCCGTCACAATCCTAAATCCCAACAGAGTAATATTGGGTTAAGAATAGCCTAGTAGGATCATAAATTTGATCACAAGTGTCTAACAGATTTTACTTGTAATAAAATTCATCAGTTAAGTTTGAGTTGAAAATCAGAATATCAGTAATCCTTCACAATTAAATTAAATTACAAATAACTTTCAAACACATAGCTTCCTCCTGAAGGGGCCGAACATAGTGATTCTGGACATTTAGATTCCAAATGCTGTTGACTGTATGAACTCAAGTTTGCTGTGTTAGTGCTGAAAACTCATACCGTACACTGTTATTATTATTATTATTTCTGCTACACGCTTTTCTAAACTCATCGCTGGTTCATTTCGTCTGAACATTGCCTGTCATAATCTTCAATGGTTCTTTCAGGTATACAGCGTCTTTCGGTCATCTCGTGAGCAAGAGCAGCATATTATGTTCCCTTCTACTCCGTCTTCTTTAATGAACCTGCAGTTCTGTGTAGTCTGCTTCTCCAGGTGAGTTTGGATGTGACACACGGCAAACTAAATTCCTCATTGCCAGCTCAGAATCGGTACAGCTTGACTTAGCTGCTGTTTATTCAAGATTTTTCCATTTAAATCTGAATTAAAACTTCGAAATAGTTAATATTACGATAATGTAGAAGCGACACTGGATTCTGCATAACACATTAGACTGGTCGAAATGTTCAGGATCACAGGAATTGGTGAAAATCAAGTCTTATCCAATTGACATGAGGATCAAGTTCTAGTAAAGCTTACACAGATTTTTTAAAGGGAAAATTACACTCAGGTCTCACAGAGCACAATTAATATAAAAAAGGTCCCTCAAAATCACGAAATGATTCTGAAGTCCTCAGGGACCTGTGTGCAATTAATTCTAATTGTGAAATTACGTAGTTACCCCTGTTAATTTGAACCTATTTACAACCTCAACAGTGGCTGTTAACAACCTGAGAAGAGGTGGTTAACAACCTCAACAACGCCCCTGGCATTCCGTAGAGCGAGTTGTCATGAGCACTGCCGAGGTTGTCAATCACGTTTTCTCGGGTTGTTAACAGCCACTGTTGAGATTGTAAACGAATTGTTGCAATAAAATTAACAAGGGTAAGTAGGTAATTTCACAATTAAAATTAATTACACACAGATCCCTGGGGACTTCAGAATCATTTCACGATTTTGTGGGATCTTTTTGATATTAATTGTGCTCTGTGGGACTGAGTGTAATTTCCCTTCTTTAAATTCCGTGAATTTAACATCGTAGCAGAATTAACGTTACAATTGTGTATCAAAATACAAAATCAAGCGAAAAGAATTAACGTTGCAACTTCTGTACACAGGAAAAGGGCACCGAGTCTTAGAAATTAGCTGTGTGATATTTTTCATAATCTAGACACGTTCGCACTCGCATTTCATGGAATTCAAAGGATGTGAATAGAACAGTCATCTATGAATTCTATCATATATTTTTGTCTGATCTGCATCGTTTATTATGCGCCTTATGCAGAAAGGTTTTGAAGAAAACTTTAAATGGCCGCACTTTAACAGAAGATTCCTTTGTTTTTTTTTTTCCTCCGGTAAATTATGTATGACTCTGCTTTATCACTAATATCGTTTTGTTTTGTTTCAAACAGAAGATTCGCTGATTAAATTCCAAATTAAAAAAAATAGAATCCAGGAACAGCTTGGGCCATTCATTAATTACTTAACCGGGCCAAGGGGAAGACCCATTATGTAATGCAGGCACAGCCCAAATTCCAATGGATTAGTTGCATATTCAGGTTCAACCCAGAGACCAGTGCTGCTGAGACTTTTTTCTTGGGGGGAAAAAAACTGCTTTGACAATTAGAATAAATTCTTGAGGACACTACATGTTAACCTTAGCTGTACGTATCAAACACGAGCCACCCGCAGAAAATTTTTCACTGTCAATTACCGGTCAGACGAGCATTATTCCAACGATATAGTTTAAAATTGAAGTAACGATTGTAAGAAATACAATCAATCAATTTACCCACAAACAAGGGGTTACTATAAAACAAATTTCTGTACATGATCGGTCAACATGAGCAAAGCCCAAGTTAAACATCCCCGGTTTCTCAATTCATATTTACAAAGAGAAGGAATATTGCCGAGTGTCTATTCGGGGACTGGGGAGTGCCAAAAAAAAGAAAGTACGAAGCACCATTTTCATTCATTCGCAAGCAGAACTTGAGCTCTGATGACTTGCAATCGTCACAACTACAAATGATAATTAATTCCTAAATTATCAATATGGACAAATCGAAAGAACCTATGTTAGTCATCATGGTGCATCATTCGATCTATGATTATCACCATGGCTGGAACTTTCAACGGTTAATCCTACATTCAAGCTTGATCTTGATTTACCGGAATGCTTCCTGGGTTTTTTTGGTGTGGCAAAGGCAACAGGTCCCAGGTTCAGCTGCTGTACCATGTCAATAGCATGTCCGTCCTCGGCAACTGCTTTGTTGCAAGATTTTGACTTGCAAAATCTCCTAGTGCGAGACAACTCAACGTTTTGAGAACTTGGAGCTTTACGGGCTGTACCCACTTCTTCTTGCATGGTTCCACCGATTCTGCCCACTTCATGCATGGTCGTTGAGGCCACGGCATTATCTGCTGAACACGAGTCCAAGCTCAACCATGCAGTACTACTTTTGTCCCCCTTTTCTTCACTAGACAGAGCCATTTTTGATGCACGTATATCATCTCTGACAGGGCTATCATCGGCTTGAGTGTTGCAATTGGACGGGGGTTCAGATGAGCTTTCCATAAAAGAACTCTCTGTAACTTTCTCTACTGCAGAATATAGGATTTCCTATCAAAACAAAGTAATAAAGAAAATCAGTTAACTGAGAACATGTGAATCAGCAATTCACCTCGTACAAAATATGATATTCTTTAAAGTGATATGAACCTGACAAGAAAATCACAACAGGGGAAAAAAAAAAAACGCTAGCAACCAACTAAAAGGACACAAATACCTTATCATGTGCCTCAATAAGTTGTTCGCAGCCAGAACTATTTTCTCCTTCAGAGTCAGCCATCTCCTCACACTCAAACTCCACGTGTTCTTCTATATCTTCCTCAGAGTCACTTAATTCTTCCTGTTCCATCACAATCTCAGGATGAGAATTATCACCAAGATCATCAATGTCACATCTGCTGATATTATCACTGGGAGAAACCAACAGCTGGGGATGAGCCCATGAAACGAGCTTGCTACTGCTAACTGTAGGGCTTTTTTCACCCTCCTGACTTGAGGGAACACCAGTCTCTAAAGGTTTTGCTGCAGTTCCACAATTTGTTGCATTTATTGTGCATCCCAGTGGGTCATTTGCTTCCAAGGGTCTGATTTCAATAGATTTATCCTTTCCAGATGCATGACTTAGGTGAATATCCAAGTCAAGCTCATTGGACTTTCCATTTATACTAGAAGATGTATTTGTATTTGTAGCTGGCATACCACTCGGAGCCAGTGACTCAGTCTGAACGGTATCAAAACTTGTTTGCAATTGCGAATCATTTGATTTCTGCAGAAGCGGATGGAAATCAAAGCCATTGGACCTTGAAGTACAACCTTTTGATTTTGAAGATTTATTAGAACCATCATCATGGTTTTGCTGGTGAGGCCGATGGAAGAGACTTAGATTTAATTGTGGTTGAGTTCCTGAAAAGAAACTAAAGGAGCTAGAAGTGCCTGAATTAAATTTCAATGGATAATAAGCCATGTTTTCAGTGGCTTGAAACAATAAAGGATGCATTTCGAGATCACTACTAGGGCCTTTTTCTGCAAAAGATCTAACCCCCACAGTGCCAGATCTTTCATGTTGAGAACCAGTAGCATTATCATATGCTGTAAGCCTTGTACTCACAACTGGATGAACACTTCCGCATTTTTCAGCAGGTGAAATTGGAGCAGAATGATCTTTCCTATGAGTAGCACCACCTCCAGAAGGGTAAATCTTAGATGTTCCACACTGGTATCCTTTAAAGGCTGTCTGAGAAACTACACGAACAGATGGAGGGAGATTTACTGGGGGCAAGTCTGGTGCTAATTTCACCAAGTGGGAGCTATTTACTTTCCGAGAACGATATGGCCGATAGTGGTATTTGGAGTTAGACATTGTCATATCAAAAACTGGGTTTCTAGGTTTGATGGCACTAGGAACACCATGTAGACCACTACTTAAGTCAGATGAAATTTGAAATTGTGGAAGCTTAGATACAAAAGGAAATGCATCCCTACCACCAATCTTGGGTCCAGCTTTCCCGCCTGCACTGTTTTGATTTTGTTGAATGTTGTTTTGAGAAGCCTCTTGTGCCATAGCATCATTGACAGGGTTTACTTCTGTGTCTTCTGCAGGAGAGCGTTCAGGACACATAGCAATGGCTCTCTCTGGCCTCCAATCGGCCAAAAATGCCTGATGGACATAAGCAACGTCTGAATCATCCATCCAACTTTCTGTGCCAGCAAGTTCGTCCTCACAAACCTGCAATAAAGTGCAACAGGTTATGATAGTAAATTTATTATCAGTCAGCATTAAACCTTCAATGCCATAGCCTCAGCCCTATTGCATAGGTTCATGAACTTAGCAGCAGAGTTAAGAGCTTGGTTTGCAAATTTAGGTACACAAGTTAAAAACACCTTTATGTGCAAATAAACCAATCAGGCCACAAATCAATGGTATGCCCACACATTTACCAGCACGAAAAACAATTTCTGTGACTTATAGCTTCCTATGCAGTTGCATTTGCATGTGAGCTGCGTTTGAATGGCAAATTCAAGACAGCATTTTGAAACATTTTCAGCCTGAATATTAGTCGTCATAAGCCCTTCAGGCAGTCACCTCGATGCTACATGTGAGGCACCATGACAAATTCATGGTAAATACGGGCAAGGCCTAAAAACAAACCTCTTTATCAGATACAGTTTGCCAACTCTCCAAAGTAGCAGCTTTCAACTTTCTTCTTTTTGACTCGTACAATCTTCGCTTCTCCTTTTTGGCTGCATCTAGCTTATATGACTTTTGAGTCCCAAGAGCAATACGCCACTGACGTGGAAGCAAGGATGGATCTCTATGTGGGACAAGATATTGCCATACTGACATCCAGTCAAATTTATAAACCTTAAGTCCCTGTGTGTTTTAGGTCATGTATCAGCAAGGCATAATGCCTGTCTATCAAAGAAGATATCCATAGATTTTAAACCATATACATTGTTCAATAAACTACCTCATGAATACGCGCTATCTCCTCTGCAGTTAATGGAGAAGTTTTCATTCGTCTGACCGCCTGCATGAAAAAGGCAAGCAACAATATCAAGATTTATATTAACTAACTTATTGAGTTACTGTGGTTACACGCATGCTATACAGCGTCAATACGAAGTCTGCTAGAGTGCAATAGCTTTAAACTAAAGCTTCCTGTCCTTTTCATTAACTGATGTAAAATCCCTGTAAGGATAGTTCCTTATCCATAAACAATGTACTTTTTCCCCCTTCCATCATGAACTATTCTTTCATTTTCTCTTTCGAAAAGAAAAATTTATCTATGTTCTGATATTGCTCAACACCATAATTTCTTACGACTAGCATATTAGACAACCTAATATAGTCAGCAACTTACCTAATCAGATAACTTTTCAATAACAATGACCCTTTTTTTTATCTATCTAATCCTATCCATTAAAAGGGGCTTTGCAGAGTTCAATGGGCCCTTCTCCTTTTCGCTTTGGAAATATGTGGTTGAGAAACCCTTGTTCATGATGAAAATCGAAAGCCTTGAAGGAGAAAGTCAACTTTCAGATTATGAAAGAGGAAATTCTTGCGGAATTGGATTCTTCAGATTAGTTGGAATACAAGATACAATATCATTTGCAATATTTTGAAATTTGGACCAATCATTAAACCAGTTAAGACAATGGTTCATGGTTCAATTGAACCAGTTGTATTTTAAATTTATTATATCTAAACATAACAAAAGAAATTAAAAATAGTATAATTATAAATTAAATTTCAATTAAGTACTTAAATTGGATTATATTCTTCTATGCATTCGTCAAGAAATAAAACGAAACAAAGAGAATAGTATAAATAGGCTCTCATAATAAAGGGAGAAGAAGTATCATTAAAAAGAGGGTGCTCGAGAATGACGTATTGTCTAGTATATTGCTCTTGATAAGCAATTTGGAAACCCCAAGCTCCCAGTAAAGTAATTTGTTTTTTTGACAGCAATCCTCAATAGGATAAATAGTAATGACAAGCCTGTCTGATGGCTCCATAGAGTTCTCCCCCATTGTGAACCATGTGAAAATCTGAGTGAGAAAATTTGCGCTGTTCATTTTGTCACTGTCCAGCAGTGAGTTACCTTTGGAATAAACTCTTTGCTCTTATTGGGGAGAAAGAGTGCGCGCGCGCGTGTGTGAGAGAGAGAGAGAGAGGGGACCACAGCTACAAAAAGACGTTTTGCAATACTTCGGATTCTCATCAACAAAATTTGCTCTATCTATCACTATAAACAAGCATACATTCATCATTGTAATTAATCATATAATTTAAGCACTTGAATTCACCTTTATTGGATTATCTGGAGCTTTTGAAGAGCAGCGGTTTTTCTGCCTGACAAAAATCTGCAAGTAAATGACCCCATATCCTAGATCAGTCACAAAGTTTTTACCACCACAATGAAGCTGCTCGTCCAAACATAACATTTAAACCAAAAGCTGAGAAAAACTAAAACAAAAACAAAAGCACAAATTTGCATTTCATCACAGAATGTCTACAAAACTTCAGAACAAAATCACCGTGGCATGATAAGTGTAAAACGTACTGCACCGTATAATCACCTGATGCTTAGACTTGCAGGGTAGAAAACGTTGTTGAATGGCTTTCCAATCTGTATTATATTCTAATAACCCTAAGGCCAGTAATCTGTAATCATAGAAAAGAAATGTCAACTGCATGAGCTTCTTGTAAATGATGAGGATAAAAAGCAGCGATAACAAGAGAAATGCAGAAAATCAAAGTCAACTAAAAAACCAAAGAGGAATAATGTATAAATTAAAAGGACAGAAACACACTTGGTCATCTTACACCTCAGTAGGACCAGAATAGGCTATCATACATTCTGAAGCTAAATAAGACAGCAACATCCTTAATTGTTTCTCCAAGGAAAAAGGAATTTCATTACGAGCTAATAGGTCTGGCCAAGGAGAACAAGGAAAGGCAAGAACAGTTTGAAAGGTAAAGAAAGTATACCAACAAAATAAAAAGAAAGAAAGGAAAATTAGCAAAGAAAAGATGACAAAGAACAAATGCAGTTAAAGATATTTTTTACGGTGATTCATCATAGCAAGTTTTTCTTCTTGCATATACAAATATGTTTAAATATGCGCTAATAAATAACCAAAAAAGGGGGGGGGGAACTGCTTTACCATCAAGTTCAAGGCCAGAAAGTCAAGAACTTCAAGCAGATAAGATCAAGAATCATAACCAGAAAGGCACTAAATACAGATGGTTCAGAAAGAGAAGATCTGCAACTCACTCATCCTCTGAATCAGTGAACAGTACCCTGTTTACAACTGCTGGTGGGGGTGGCTTATGTGGAAATAATACTGGATTGAACATAGGCAGAAATCTTTGAGTTAACTTAGCAATTTCCTTAGGTACTGAAGCAATTGATTGCTTCATTGTACTTTCAACAAGCATGGCAGCCAATGTTTTCTTAGGCTGCTGCTGACCAGGTGAAGTTGGGACCACATTGCCAGCTGCAGAGGTATTTCCACTTGAAACTTCATTAGGAGCATTGGATAATGATGAAAAACAAGGAAAGAGAGGCTCCTTCTCAGCATGCATCTCACATCCAGATTTCAAGTAACGGTTCCGACACTCTTGGATGGCTGCAAAATTTCAATCCAATGCCTAGATATGTAAAGGCCACTCTTCTTAACCATAATATAACGGCAAAGCACATAAAACACTTGACATCTTTAATATGACTTACCATAATTAACATCATCTACAAATCTTCCAACAAAATTAAGGGAAGCAACATCAAGAATAGATATTATAGGGCCTCTAACAAAAGATGATGGTAGAGAACCCTCGATGTCTTGAGAAGAAATTGACCAGCTTGAATTATATCCACATCTTCCTTCGGAAGAACACTGATTTGATTGGGAAAGATACATTCTCTGTGCATCATATGAACAAGAAGATTCTGTGTCGTACTGCCCTCCATTAGAGACAGATGAGAAGACATTTGATGGATAAAAGCAAATACTAGGGTATGGCACACTTTTTGAAGATACTACTTTGTTGCGTTTGTTAAGCAACTCAAAAAGCAAATCTTGAACCTGAGAAGCAATGTGTTGCCGCGAAGGATCAAAAACTGACAAAGAAAATACCTGAATAAGAAGCTGCACATGCTCATGAATCAACACGTGTAACTGACCAATCTGTTGAGGAGTAAACCCATTTACAAGACCATTTCCTGAAGCACAAGACTGAAAGCTCAAAGTAACATCAGGCATCAAAACTTTCCCTGAAGCAGGTGTCCCATTGGACATATTTGGCAAAATGGGCCGCAATGGCTTCTTAGCCAGTCCTAAAGTCTTCTTCTCACATTGAGAAGAAACCTTTTGGCGCCGATTTTGCCTAGTCTCAGGTCGTCGTGCAGCTCCTTCATACTCTTTTCGAGTCTTCACAGCTGCATTTTCTTCAATATCACTCTCTAGTAATTCTTCAAGCTCGATCTCAAAGTCTGCATCATTATCCTCATCTTCATCATCAACATTTTCATTTCCATGAGGGGATAGACCTTCATCATCTCCACCCTGTAACACAGCTGCGAGAAATTTCCTATATTCTTCTTCATCATCAACATTTTGAAGGTCATCATCATCATCACTCTCTTGAAGGAAAGTCTCAAGTTCATCAAGAGTGAAACTTGCAAGCGAATACCGGGCTCTGGTGCGAGTACAGATGGCATCACTATCATCTGTTTCTACTACTAGATTTTGGGGTTTTGTTGCATTATTTAATTCTCCTGTCTTCAATGCATAATCATCAGTCTTACTACTTAAGCCATTGTCCTTCTCTTGATTAGTTTCTGACTCAGAATTCATAGCTGATTTTCTCTTTTTAGAACTGAAAATAGCATTCTTTTGCAATTCTTGTTCACATGTTCCATCCTCAGAAAGTGATGAATGCACTGCAATTTCCTCCTCACCATGTTCACGATCTTCTATGGCACAGATTGACTCCTTAGTGGTTAGTTTTGATGAATTCATATTCACAGGGAAACTGCTGTCAGCAACATCACCATCCACACCATCAACCTCAGAGATCAAACTTGAAGATGCTTCTTGTGATGGGGTTTCCTTTACAAAAGGATTGAAATCTGCATCCTCCTCCTCTTCTTCCTCATCTTGTGCCTCCTCAGTTTTCAAAATTCTTTCATGGCTATCAGTAGAATGCAACATAATGCGATCCTTGGCACAGCCAACATTCGTTGGCTGTGCATTTGAACAAGAGGGCATCTCACACAAACAATATATGACTGTTCTTTATGCTCGAGCCTCAGAGGATTCAAAAGTGCTGCTTGTAGGAAAAATATTCACACAGAGGTTGAAATCACTATAGAGCCTGGAGAAAGCAGAAACCAGGAATAAGTAAAAGTCTCAGGAAAAGTGCTGTTACTTGTTATATTTCACTTGTTATTCCTAGAGCGTGAGTGTGATCATTACATGCTTAAACAGAGACAAACGGTTGCTTGGTAAGAAAAATATAATCATAAATATAATAATCACAGGATTAAAGGAATATAGGAATGGCAAGTAACAATTCAGAAGCACAATATGCAATGTAGCAGATCCCTTCACATGTTTTCAAACCAAGACAGCTTTGCAGGCACAAATCGATTCATTACCAGCATACACCAAAATTAGAGGATTTCAAAAGCCCCTTCCACAGCCCAAAAGTAACTAACACCACACTCCCGTTGTTAAACCCGTCAATATCGGCATCAGAACATGACTTTCCAAGGCAAAATGTGGTAAATTCACCCAAGTCCTGGAAAAATTTGTCAGTTCCAGAGTGACGACATAAATCCTAATACTCCCTTTGAATCATATTAAGGCATTGATCATAATTGAGTTCAAGGGTTTGAAGGGAGGGAATTGCGGTTTGCACAATTGCCAATACAGCCCAAGAAATAAACCCTAAAAATCTAAAGCAACAACCTCAACAACATCATGAAGCGAGTGTGAATTACACAGAGAAGCAGAGAGCGAATAAAATAGAGATCAATAATGCGCATTTACCAGCGATGAGTTGCCAAGCTACACCGGACCGAATTTCTGCTCCGAAAGACTGCCGTCAAGGAGCTAAAGGTTGAAGAAGCAATACGTTGTCGTTTGCTTGCTTGCTTTGCTTGTTCTCCGATTTGCGTCTTGCGGTCTTGTTCCTGCCAAACGGAAATTTTCCCTCGTTCTCCGTGGGTGCGTTTTGTCTCACGCGCGCTCCTTAAAACGACGCAGGTGTATCCCAGTTCCAGCAAACCACAAGAGTTCGCGTAACAAAAGATCGGAACGATTCACTTACTAAAACGACGTCGTTGCAAGGATGAGCAATCGAACCCACTCCTGGTGGAGTTAAAATCGTGACCGTAGGAAACGGATCTTATACTCTTACTATGTTTGTATGGGGTTTTCGGAGGGGAGGAGGGAACCCTTGTTTGGCTGGTATAATTTTTTAGGAGGGGAGGGGACTCTTCCACCCTCGTTTGGTTAAGATGTTTTTAAAGGAGGGAGATTCTAGCCTCCCCTCCAAAAGTGGGGTTTTTGGAGGGGAGGTGAGAAGATATTTTAATTATATGCCCTTTTAATTTGTTAACCTCTATCAGTCATAAAATTTCTACATAAGAGAGTTCTTTGAGCATCTATATAAGAGGTTATTAAGATAATTATTTCCAAAATTAGTGAGCATTTGTAAACTTTTTTCTCTTCTTCTAATTCTAAGAGGCCGTTGATATTTTATTTCACCTTCAAGGTCTTTTCTATGATTGAAATCTATCACTGTGACTTTTGTCTTGATATTCTATAGTGTATGATATTGTAAACAAATAGTGAATTGTCTTATTTATAGTAATCTTAACAAAATAAAAAGTGAAAAAAATCATTTAAATTTTATGAGGCTAAATAGCAATTTTTTTATTAGAACAAAATAAGGTTATTAAAGTTGTCCCTCCCCTCCCCTCCAATCAATAAACAGGAGATCTTAAAATATCCCTTCCTCCCTCTTCCCTTGATTAAAATCCCTCCCCTCCCCTTCCCTCGTCGAGCCAAACATAGCGTTAGATTTGTTTGATATGAACATAACAAAAGAGATAGGGATTGAGATTAAAAGTGTAAAATTATATTAAAAAATATTTAGTATGACTAATGGTATGATACTTAGAATTACACAAATCTATATATCTAAGATTGAGAATACATAAGAGGCGTGTGTTCTCCTGTCTATTTATGAGATTGTTAATCTCATGTGATAAGAAATTATTCTGTTAAAATCATTTTAATGTTTTTGTTTAATTTCATTCTTATTTTTATTTTTAATACTTCCTACTAAACGTAATCTGGTGAAATGTTCAGTGGTTACTACGAACAACTAACAACTGACTAGGGGGGGGTAAGGCAATTTGGTTTGGAGGGCGTGAGACGAGTTGCTCTCTTCGTTTGGTTGGCAATGAAAAATTATTTGTTCGTAAACTACCCTAAACCCAAAAGGGCAAAAAATGCCTTGTATTCTTCTCCCTTGTGATATTTTATTAAACTTTATCATATAATAAGATTCAACCATACTACCTCTTCTTAATATAAAATCTTATTTAATTTTGATTTGGTCTTAAATATAAGACTCCAATCCATTTGTCTCTCATATTTATATGTTTTTTTTCCAAAGTAATCCTTTTAACAATAATATGTCTACATAACAAACCTGATTAACATGATATTTAAAAAAAAAAATACATATCATTACAAATAACTAATTTAACTAAATTCTTTAATTCTTCAAATTAGTAACTAAGTCTTCTAATTAGGAATAGGAGGTAGTATTTGCATGTACCTATAATTTTTTAAAATTTTTAATTTGGTATTTATGTATTTTTCCCCCTAATTAAGCATTCCAATTTTACTCCATCAACACTGTTAACTTCCGCAACGGTGTTATGTTAGATTGTTAGTCTCTATAAAAAAAACTAAGTATGCTAACAGAGCAAAATTGTAGTGTTTAATTAGGAGGAAAAAACACACATGTACCAAATTAAAAATTTATAAAAGCTATAAGTGCTTGCAAAATGGTTTTACCCAAGATTTAACACAATTAATTTCTATGTTAGGGAATGAAAGGAAGTATCATGCAAAGGATTTTTCTTTTATTTTTGGCCAAATTTTAACTACTATTTTCTGTTCTAATTATAAGACTTTGTTTTAAACTACAAATAAAATCTTACAATTAGGACGGAAATAGCATAATGAAATTTAATATTACCTCCAGTCTTATTTATAGCTGGTTGACTAATTTGAGGAGATTAAGGAAAGAAGTTAAATTAGTTATTTGTAATAAATATGTGTTATTTTTTCTAAAATATTTTATTAATCAAGTGTATTGGCTAGAACTATTATTGTTAGAAGGACTATCTTAAAAAAAAAAACATAAATATAAGAAAAAATAAAGATCTTATATTTAAGACTAAAATAAAAAAACAAGATATTATATTAAACACGAAGGTAGTATAAAAAAATTGTTGAAAACAAAACTCTATCATGAGATTATGATTTGAAAAGGGAAAAAGTTAAGAACACCGTAAAAAGATAATCACGAAAAGGAGTCCGCCCCCTGAGCGTGCTGGACGATGAGCAAAAACAGCGAGGGGTAATCAGGTGGGTTTACCAGTTTATGTGAATAAGGTCATATCAAAGAAGGTCCCGACAAGAGTAAATGATGAATTATATGTCATTTACGAGGCCCGCGAGAATCGACGTGATTATTATCATGATCTCGTGGATTACAAAAAAATCATACCATATGACTGTGATGATCTCAAATATCATCTATATCTCGTGGATTTTTATTTTTATTTTTTTGGCTCAGATCATTTAGCGCAATCAATAGTAAACACTTTCTTATGAGGTTATATATTCATTCAATTTTTTATGAATATGTTGGCGTGCGAGTTGTTTTGTTGTGAAAGAGGGCAAAAAAAAAGTGTGATTTTTTTTGTATTAATTGAAAGTTTTTATACTATCTTATTAATTAGATTTTAACTGAATTCTTCGATTTGTATTTTATTATTATTATTTTTTTAATAAATAAGCTCGGAGGGAGTATAAATATAAATCAAATAAATTATACCTTTTTTTGTGCAAAGGCTCCGATGAGAATGTGTAAGAAAAGAATCCAGCCAGTGAATAAAATACAAGCCGTACCTTTTAGTTTTTTTTATTTTAAAAAGTTAATATAATTTTTAGTCTCTGAAATTTGTTGTTGTTTTGATTTTGATTCTTTAAATTTTAAATCATAAGTTTTATTTTTTTAAAATGTAAAATAGTCTAGGTTTTTTATATCAAGTTATTTAGGTCAAGTATGTTAAGTTAACCAATCACATTATATTAGCTGTATTAATTTTACATGTCATTATTTAACCCTAAAACAACTCTTAAATACTGTTAAAACAAATCTTTAAAAAATATATTTTTCTTTTAAAATAAAAGACAGACCTTTAAGTTTAGGACGATCGTGAAAAAAAGACTGCGATCATGAAAGAGAGCATATGGCGGCCAAGGATGACAAAAGTAAGAAGTTGCAGCGGCAATTAAGACACAAATTCATGAATATCCAATTGATGGCAATGCAATCAACACAGGAGAGGATGCGCAATCTGGCCACTAGGCTACGAATTGCTTTTTGACTTTGAGCATTTATCCATCATAGTCAGATTCCTTTATTGGGACCTGCCTTCTCCAAACAGTTATCCACTGTAATTTAGTTTGATTTCATACCTTGATTGGTGTGTTTGGATGAAACCAAACCATGGTTTGGAAAAGTGATTCTGGAGAATAGATTCTGGGGAGAATAGATTCTGTGAAGAATAGATTTTGTAAAAAAGTGATTCTGAGAAGTGAGAGTGTTTGGATAGTTGTTATCAGAAGCACTTTTTATATATACAAATTACTAAAAAAAGACATAAGTTAATATGATAATTACAGAAAAAATAGATTTTATGATATATTTTAATTTGAAGGAATAAAATGTTAATAATATATTTTTTACCAACATAATTAATAATATATAAGATAATATAATTAATAAATAATTAATGTGTATATATATTTATAAAATATAAGATTAAATATGTTTATAAAAAAATATGTTTATAAAAAAAATAACAAGATATATATCCTATAGGCTCTCACACTCTCCCTTTTTTCTTCAAAAACAAAAATTTTGCTTTTTTCAAAACCATGGTTTTGACCCAAAACCATGGTTTTGGTTTTTAGAGGGGTGTTTGGGTGATTGACACCCCAAACCATGGTTTGGGGTGTCACCCAAACACACCCTGAATCAGCCATGAATCTTCATTGTTAATCTTTTTATACCATTGAAATAGAATTTTTAAGAAAAGAAAAAAGGAGGAGGAAGCACCATTCCCTTTTTGCATTTTCTAATAAGGAGAAATAAAGTGTGTATGAATCAATGACTATAGTTGCTTGGAGATGTAGGAAATTTGATGGTGTTTAGAAGAAATTTTTTTTATTTTCACTAAATGGAAAAAAAGATATTTTTTTCAATTTTAGTTTAACGATGTTTAAGAATTATTTTGAGGTTAAATGATGATGTGTAAAATTAATTCAACTGGCATACTTTGATTAGCTAACTTGATATACTTGACCTGAGTAGCTCTTATAATTAGGACTCGAGGTATTACAATGAGTTAAACACCCTCACCCACAAGTATATTAAGACTCGAGCTCATCATCTCATATAAGCATGATGGATAATGCTGCTATTGGAAGAATTTGCTAATGAGAAAACGTATTTCTTAAAGGAAAAATTACTATAAAATCTCAATAAAATAATATAATTACTAAAAAAGTTCTAATGACAATAATGTCATTTCTAATTACAAGTTTTAGTATAAGAAATGCATATATATAAAATCTCAGATGTTATTAGGATTTTTTTCCCTAGTTATTTTATTTATTTGGGTTTTCATAGTAATTCTCCCTAATTCTCCCTTTAAGTATATATGTACTCTTGCTTTTAGTAAAAATGTTTGTTATTATTTGTTCTTCTGGTAACTGTTAATGATTCTTTTTATAGTACTATAAATATGGGCAAGCCAGATAGCAAAGCAGCCACCTGTCAAAAGTGAAAACCACCAGTCTTCTGTATATTCAACGCCTCAACCCCCAAAAACCCTCTTCCTTTCTGTTTATAACACCACCCGATTGCTCTTTCTCGTACTGGGATCTCGTTCTTTCTGCTCAGAAAACAAAAATGAGTGAATCAAATCGCCAGACAAATGGCAGAGGTGCCTCTCTTCATCAGCACTTTGATTTACTTCCATTTGCTGTGTCTTGTTCGGTTTGTTTCTCTTACGTACTCTGTTTTACGATGTTGTCGTCTCTCAGAGACTAGATCAGGACAGAAGGACGCCAAGCAGCTGCAATTCTCTGAAGATGAAGAATTTCTCATTGCCAGGATGTTTAGCTTGGTTGGAGACAGGTTCCTTCCTTCCTTCCTTCGTTACTTTCTTCTTCTTCCTTTTTTCATAATCTTAATACCGATAATGTTATAAAAGCTTTGGAGTGAAGGACTGTTTCTCTTGTATTTTTGGAGAATTGCAAAAAGTTAGCCCTATTTATTAAAGCGTGGCTAACAAAGATAATGATGGTAACTAGCGGCTTATTTTTTCTGACGTTTCCCTAGTAGAGATTGTGATGTTTTATATTTGTTTTAACTAGTAATGGTAGGACCCTTTCGCCACTACACGTCACTTTCTTATCTGAAGGCATATGTCATTAATTTCCATTAATTATGTATTATCAGAGGGATAGAACACTTTAGTCTCTATTATAAGTCAACTCCTAAAACTTTACCATAACCAATGACAGGTGGTTAAGTCATTATAGTTGTTTGAAAATTAAAAAAAAAAAATCAAATGCACATAGGAACGATCCTTTAAAAAAATAATTAATTAAGGTTAATATAATTTTTGGTCCATTAAATTTGTTCTTATTTTAGTTTTGGTTCCTCAAATTTTAAATTATAGGTTTTGACCATTCAATAGATAAAATGATTCAAGTTTTTATTGAATTATAGAAATAATGTTTAAATAAAAAGAAACTTGAAGAACCAAAATCAAAATGAAAACAAATTTGAGGGGCTAAAAATTGTATTAACCCATTAACTAATAACTTATAATCAAAAGTCAGAACCACTCTTTTTTTTTTTAGAAGCTGTTTTATCATATAGATAGCAGAGGTACAGTAAAACACAGGATTGTGAAATTCTGTTAATTTAATTAGTGATAATAACTTGTCAATAATTTGTATTACCTCCGGTCCTATTTATAACATCTCGTTTGTAAACTACAAACGATGTCTTACAAACGATGATTGAGTACATTTTAGGAAAAGTAATTAATAAAGATATTTTTGTAAAAGAATAAACGCAGTAAATAATTCTATAGTTAGGAACAAAAAGAGTACTCCATCCCATCTAAGTGGCAAAAAATGACTGTGGGGGCCAGCCTATGGTGTGTAGAATCAAAAAGTGATTTTTTTTTAAATACAAAAATTGGGGTTCTTGATGTAGCTGTGCTTGTGTTGCGTGGCAGATGGGCCATTATAGCAGGGAGAATCCCAGGGAGGAGCGCGGAAGAGATTGAGAAGTATTGGACCTCTAAGTGCGGTTCGTCAAGTGAGACCTCGCGTCATCGCGCTGCGTGATTGTTGTAACCACTGTACCATCCATCGCACTTTGATGAGATTATGGGCTTGAGTCTAACTATGACATATTTTTATGCCAGTCTTTAGATTATACTCCTCCGGTCTTTATTATAAGACCCAATTTGACTTTTTATTTGGTCCTAATTATAAGACCCAATTCATTTTGTCTCTTATATTTATGCATTTTTTTCCAAGATAATCCTTCTAATAATGATAGTTTTAGCCAATATACTTAATTAGCAAGGATATTTTAGGAATGACAACACTTATTTATTATAAATAACCAACTTAACTTACTTCCTTAATCTCCTCAAATAAGTCAATTGAGTCTTATAATTAGGACCGGAGGAGTATAAAATATAAATAAAAAAAATACTCTAATATTTTTTAATATAAGACATAATTGTTAAGTTGATTTTGATTTTAAATATAAGACATATTTGATATTTATTAATTTTTTCTAAATTACTCTTATGGATACTCTCTCAATGATAATCAAATAAGTGAGGGAGGGAGGACATTAAGAAAGATGATTATACTATTTTAAAAAATTAACTAATTTATTTAACTTTCTTAATCTAATTAAATTAATTAAATGGAACTTATATTAGGTACCAAAAAAGTATAATCCTTCCATGTCAATAACGCGAGGCTAAATTATATCTAGCCTCTAAAATTTGGGTTTTACGCAGGTAATAATACAGTCCTCAATTGTGTAAATAACTCTTCTATCATTAATTTGCCTTTTTTTTAAAATTATTTTTACGTAATTTTAAATTTAGAAAAATATTTAGACGTAACTCAAATTTTAGGAGACTGATATATCCGAAGAAACGCTCCGAAGGGGAGTGGGAGACTTGGGATTTGGGTCAATGGCATATTATGCTCTATCAGTGAAGTAATGAAATAATTTTTTTTTTAAAAAATATATAACGAAATAATTAATGACATAAATTTCAAATTTTAGAACGATTATTTTCAATTTTTGAATGTCAAGAGAATTATTTGAATGTGGGGCAAACTTCAAGAATTTTTGTGTAATTTACTTATTAATGTTGTATCAATAGAATTATCATAAATTACATTCACAAATAAAATCATGAATAATGCAATTTATTTATTAAATCTTATTAGATACTCCTCTTGTCCTTAACGTAGGATTTAATTGGAGAGTTGATGTTATTCCTAAATGTAAAACATATTTCATATAATTATCAACATTTTCTCAAATTAACCCTACTAATACTCCCTTAGCAATAATTAAGTAGGAGAGAGAAGAAGAGAATTAAAAAGATACTTAGGGTGTTTTAGAACAAACAAATCATATTAACTAATTCAACTAACATCTTTAACGTATTTAAAATAGTTAATTAGGTTTTATATTAAGAAACAGATGGATATATAAACTTCATCTATTTTTATAAACAGAGATTCTTTTAGCTGGAGGGGGAAGACCGGTGGAGTATTTTTATTCCCCCGGTTTAGTTTTTAAAAAAAAAAATGGAGGGGAGGGAAAATTTTAGCCTCCCTTGATAACTGGGGGATTTGGAGGACGACGGATTATTTAAAAAAAATCCCTCTTGCCCTTTTTTCTCGTCGAACCAAACATTGTGTAGGAGATTGACATGATAATTTGGAGGTAAAGTAAAAAAAAAATTTTTAAGATGAATAATTTTTGCTAAGAAAAAGCAAAATAAATAATATTCATAAGAATAGCACGACATAAAAAGATTCTTTTATTTGCTTATTATTAAAAGGAGGCTTAAGGTCACATCTAAAAGTTAATATTATTTCCTATCATTAATATAAGAGTTAGTTTGATTTTTAATTTAGTCTTAAATATAAGGTCCTAATCTATTTTGTCTTTTATATTTATCTAATTTTTTCAAAATAGTCCTTATAGTATATATTAAATATTTTATCAAATGACACTTGATCGATAAAGGTATTTTAAAAAAGACAACATATATTTATTACAAATAAATAATTTAATTAATTATTTTAATCTATTTAAATTAGTCAATTAGTTTTTATATTAAAAATTAAAAGTGGTACTTAAAATGTATGATGGCCTTTTATCCTTTCTAAGGGCCAATCGCCAAATTTCATTACCAAAGTTTTGCTAAAGAATCGACATGGGGCCATACGTAATTTTTTTTATCAAAACAATAATTAACTACCTATTATGTCCTCATAAAAAATCATAATTATTATTAAAATTATGTTGTCTCGCCGTGTGCGGCATAGTCCACGGCCATGCCTTTCACTTCCCATTTTACTGCCTTCTTTTACATTATTTTGCATGACTCTAATACATAAATTGCTAACCTTTTCTTCGCTCATGTAAAAAAATTCCCAATGTGATCATTTTCCCATTATTAATTATTCTCTGTTTCCCAAAGATTTTAGAATTAGAGTTTGACGAGAGTGTGTGTTAGGTTTTTCCTTTTAGTTTCTTTTCTTTTATAGCTTGGGCCTTTTTTAAGGTTCTTAGTATCCAGTCTGAATTCCCAAAAAACCAAAAAAGATTTTAGAGTTAGGTTTACCAATGAGGGTTAGGTCTAACAGAAGGGGCTAGTCTCCCACAACATGGTGAATCACGATTCGAATCCCTACTGGGAGAGGTACTCACATTTAGTGCCCGACAGTGCCTCAAATAGAATTGCCTCCAATAGGAGGATACCTATGGTTTAGCCAAAAAAAAAAAAAGACTGTTGACGAATCCTGAATTAATATTTATGAGAATGCGGTAGTTCTTTGAGTAAATTTTTGTTCCTCAAAACAATTCCGATTTTCATGTTACTTTCTTCTCTGCTTCCTTAGTATCACGGATCACACACGTGGTTTTTTTATCTATCATATGTGCCCATTGATAAGGATTTTAACAATAAAAAAAAATAAAAATTCTTAAATCATAAAGACCCAATTACAAATTTTCAAATTAAAAATTGACGACTCTGGAGACTAGTAGCACATTGAAAAAAGATTCAACATGTTGATTACTTGCAGGAAGTTGATCTCTGCTTTTCATGGATGCCACCTGGATTACTGCTATCAGAGTCACTGACAATTTGATCAGAGGCCACTTCATTCTTTCCACTTCCTTCTAATAACTTCGGTGTCGCAGAAGAACTATAGGCTGGATGATTGAAGTGCGGCCGTGAGTGGAAGGAGATGTAATTTGCAGGAGGTAAAGATTGATAAGCGTAAGGAAATGCACTTGGAAGTGGAGGCCAATACATAAGAGGCACATAAGCACTTGTTGACTGTGAGGGCAGAATCTGATATGAGGCATGATTGTTTCTTATCTGAGAAGTGCCTTGAGAAATCTGGGCCGGAATAGCAGAATGGAATGCTGCCATGGCTAAAGTATGAGAAGAGGAATAACCAGTTAGGCCAAATTGAGAGGGTCCTGAATTTGCAGGGATTGATTGTCCAGCTGAAGTCTTATGTGAGGTCTGAGACCTGTTCACGGAGTTTGTGTGTTTCTTGCCTCCGGATTTTGCAGCAAGTGGCTTTCTGGTTGAACTCTGAGATTCAGCAATGCCAAGCTAGAACAAGAAAAAGTAGAACTTGTTCATCAAGAACTTGACACAAACATGGCTGGTTTGGAAATGAAATAAGAACATGATATAGAGCCGGCCAAAATCAGTTAAGTATAGAGCACTGCGGATATCTTAAGTGCAAGAAATGGAATCTCAAATTAGCGTCTTCTGGGTGTGGTGTTTAGTCAAAAGTTGACTCTTGATGGTCACCATGTAAACTAATTCCATCCAAAGAGAAGTTCAAATTTGGGATTAGTAAACTTACACTGTCATATGCTATTGGGCGTGAAAGAAATAGCTCTTCTTCAGCAGCATCTTCATCTGTCCTGTGAAAAGAAACTTCTTGCGCGTCAAATGAAAATAGTTATCTTTTAAGGATCGATATTTAGGTAGAATCAATCTACTAAACACAAGTAGACCCAGTCAATGAAGATTAAATATGTTAGCATATTGGAGGTGGTCATCACTGAAGAGTTTGCTAGCAATTTTACATGTTTGCTAATGATTGACTTAGTTACTTATCTTTTAGTGATTCTTTCAGCAAGACTATAACATAAGTTCACTGAGGTTTCTTAAATAGGTCAATCTCTATTCAAGTTTTCTTTTGATGGGAAGATAACTGCATAATTCATGTATTGCCGTTTCCATCCATGGTCATGTTTAAATTATTGCAGTATATTTATATGAAGAACCTGTAATATTTCTGAAGCAAGTCTAAGTTCCGGTATTTGGTTTCTCTCTGGACTATATTATCAGGAAATCCCGCCATGAACAGAAGTGTGATGCCCAAGGCCTTGAAGAAAAAGCTTCCACTACGAATATGAGCCAACATTGCCATTCTGCACATCAGTGGCCCAAAAGACTTCAATTTGTTCCTTCCCATCCTCTGCCTGACATATCTGGAATGATTCAATACAAAATCAGCCTCAGATTATTATTCATGAAACTGATATATTATTCGAGTGCTTAAACCATTTAGCTTCTTCGACAAAAATATAACATTTGGGGACTTTTTTAGTCCTTATAACTCAACAACACAGGCTGATTTTTCAAAGTTCTGCATAATATGTAAATGCTAGAGTTCATTACTTGGGAAAAACTTACTCATTTTGGGGAAGGTTTCTTGTTCTTCCACCATACTTAATGCACAAGAATAGGCATGAAGGACAACTAGCATCAGATGGACGCATGAGTCTTTCTTCCTCAAGTATCTGAACAGGGCATAAAATTGGATTCTGTCTATTTGGGTAGAATATTTTTCTTCGAACACCAGGATTCTCGTATAAAACATGCTCCTGTGCAGAAATAGAAATCTTCACATTTTCAGAAGAGAAACATTTAGAACTATCTAGAATTAAACTAGACAATGGTTATTAGTCTAGAAATTATCTAAAAGAACGAGAGTGCATAAGCTTCAAATAAATAAGATATCTGTAGCAGCTAACTCCCTCTTAGTTATTGGATGTTCCTAAGAATAATGGAAAAGCACGCTGAACCTACTCAAGAAAAGTTGGACTTTGCTTTCTGCAGCCAGACTATGAT